TCTCGTTTGCTTTTTTTCTTTAACAATAATTAAAGGCTTGTATATATTATAACACGAATTTGCGGTTATTAGAATTCCAGTAATGCAGTTAAAATATGTTTTCATTCGTGGTTAGACATTGTCATATCATTATAGTAATAATATTAATATACAGTGTTCGGTGAATAAATTATGTCTGCTAACTATTCAGCACGTTAGTTTTACAGTGATTATTATTTAAAAAAAAAAAACACCCTTATGCACGCACTTTTGGACCCATACAACGATGATTCGAAACCTTCAACAAGTCGACCGTCGATTGCAGACTAATACACCCAATGTATAATATACATGGGTTTCGTGTAATTAGAGCTTTGTTATTGACGTCCTCCTATATAATAAAATAATATATATTATTGAAAATATCAAATTTGTTATTTTTTTTTCTTGCACTGTCATATTATAAGTTATAACCATACCTATTATATTATAATACAATATAGGTATTATATTATGTTTGTACAATTATTTTTCTCATGTGGAAACACCCGTTATTGGCGGATGGGTGYGCGTATGTAACTCATCTGCTTTGTRACGACCAATATAATTCCATTTTCACTCCGTGCGCCTGAATATTATACAATAATACGGTTTGAAAATATAATGATATACTATAATTATGCTGGTTATATACACATTGTGTTATGTTACACTTAATCATCGTAACTCGTAACTCAACATATTTTATAACGTATAAACTTTAACGAACAACCATGTTTCGGTATGTATTATAATGTATATACTTTTATTTATTTGATATTATTAATAACCATCACTAACCAGTAATAAGTTCTTGAATTTTCTATTGATATTTAACTAATTTCTATATTGGTTCCCGCAACATTCGATTCAAATAAAAACACAAATAACGCACAGTCCTACATTTATTACAATATATATATAATAATTAATAACTAACAATACAGTATAATTCTCAAATGATAAAACGAAAAAATTATGTACCGGGCATATTGTATATGCTTCAATTAAAAACAAACTACAGACTTTGACATTGACACTTGTTTCACACGCGATGTACATAYAATGGAAACCAATTTGAAGACTTGAATAATTGATATTGAATGTTTTCTATTATCTCGAAACACAATACRCGTATGGGTGGTAACTGATAATATTATATTTTAAACAATTAAAATGCAGCCAATTTATCCGATGAAGTCGACAACGACAGCGACATTTTTGGCGCTAAAACAAAATCAATAAAAATCTGRGTTGTCATTATTATTGTCGATGCGTACACACTAAAAATACGATAGCATATATATTATAAAAACGAACGGCAATTGGATTTCGTAAATACAATATTCCACGTGTTTGTAATGTTCGTATTATAACACACAGAAAGGTATTACGTGGTTTGTATTATTTCCGAACGGTGGGTAGAGTAGGTCCTATATGGATAATATTTTTATTGGAAGATTTCGCGTTAAAATCACATGRCACGTTCATGTGTTATAATCTACTTTACGACAGCCCAAAACCTTTTGAGCGGAGCAAAATACACGCACAGCCCTCCGAAATATTGTTGTAAACAGATAAGGGTTTTATTCTATTATAGAAATATCGTCGTTTGTTGTTTTTATTTTTATTTTTATTTGTAACGTTTCGTTCAATACAATACAAAAATGTCAACGAACGTATAATAGTATAATATAATATTGTTTAGTGAGTTTTCGATAACCTTTAAATTTCGATTATACAGGATGATTCACCAATATTAAATTAAGCCAAACTCTGAAGTTTAAAGTTTAATAATCTACCAACWTTTGATGTAAATATCTATCTAACTCAATATTTTAACGATTTGTTTCTCAGTTGTTAAAATATTCATACTAAGTTAAAGTCCTTAAAATGGATTTTCACAAAAATATAAAAATATGTTATATTGGATCATTCGAATAACCATARTCTCTGTATTTCTCATAGATTATTTACTAAGCCATTCTCATCCATATTGCCAAAAGTGAAATAACTCAAAAACTACACGTTCAAATTTTGATTTTAATA